CCTCCCTCTCTCTCTCTCTCTCTCTCTCACACACACACACACACACACACACACACACACAGAAAGAGTATAATAGTGGATAGGCACACACATTATATGATGAATATAATTATCTTAATAATTATTGGTCTAATTCACTTTGCTGTTTTAAGAACATACAAGACAATATGTATAATTTGGCTACTTACAGAACACCCATCTGCAACTCTCTGAATAACTCAATCTTTTCCCAGGATTGCATCTCTTCACACATCTTTAATTCTCATGACTGTGTGCATGGTGAGGGGAGAAAATGTATTTGTTAAAAAAAAAAAAAAAAACTGTTTCATTGATCTCTGATTGCCAGCCACTTTAAAACACTGAATTGGGTAAAAGAATAATAGAGAAAACACAGCAAATGCACAGTCATTTCAGATTCCTTGTATAATGCCCCTTTGCATTTCTTATTAAACATATTTTTTCATTCTTATTTTTTCTAGGTATTAGGATATTTAATTAGAAACGAGAAGGATACTAAAAAATTGATCAAAGAAATCAAAGGAATTGCTAGCCACCCTACATCAAAATATTTTTTTAATGTGTCTTCTGAGGAAGCACTTTTGGAAAAAGCGGGAACACTTGGGGAACGAATTTTCAGCTTAGAAGGTAACAAATATATCATTTTTAAACCTTATTTAAAAATGGAAAATATGTGATGACCAGTTTCTGGAATTTGTATGATGAGTTGTTAAAGACAGATCCTACCTGTATGTGGAAGGATGGACAATTTCCAATAAATAGAGAGCAAAAGATAGGAATTAGTAGTTTTTTAAAAAAACAAACAAACATAAAAATGTTCCTAAAGATATTCATCAATATCAAAAGAATTTTGCAATTCATTTTTCTTCAAAAAAGTATCACAACCTCTCAGTTGCAGAGCATACCACCGTATTTACCTGAAATAACATGGCTTGATGATGTCCCCCACCCAAAGATCAGACAGAAAACAGCTTATAAGACCCCCTCAAACTCCTACACATGGCCCATTTTCTCTGTCTTGCCAATTAGGATTTCCAGCTCCCTCTGAAACCAATCCTGGGGATGTTTTTCTGCCAGCAGATTGTTCATGTGATACATTTGTATATCTGGGTGCTTATAGGCAGGTCCAAGGCAGCACTTTAAAAAAGAATAGCAACAGCCAAAAAAAAAAAAAATTGAAATAAGGCTGCTAATTAAAATTAATTACCTTTCAAATAAAATACCCCAGTTCTAAATGCAGTTGATCCCAAACTCATTTTCTCACACTGGGTACTCTCTTTCTCACACACACATGTGAGGCTGAAACTGTCAAGGGCTGAAGCAAAGAACAGAAAAGTCATCCACACCCAAGCCAAGAAGCAAGTAGCAAAAAATCTGTTGCGTGTAACTGTGAGAGAAAAGACATAAGACCTGAAGCTTGGGAGATAAAGCAGGCTGGATTGCTAGATTCAGCAGGAGCCAGACAATCATCTGCCTGGGATGATTTAATTTGGATTCCTGCTTTGAGCAGAGTGTTGGACTCGCTGATTTAAATGCCCCCTTCCAACTCTGATCCTATGACTGGGTGTTAGTATGGCAAGACAATTAAAATATTTACACTATGGATGAAAGCCTTTAACTAAGTCTGCAGTTCCTACTGGATCTCAATTGTTTCTTGAAAACTATGGCTTATTTCTGTGCAACTTCCTTGTTTCTTTGAAACAGTGGTGATAAGCATATGAATGGGTTTTTTTTTTCTTCTCACTAGGCACCAATCAAGGTGACTTATTCCAGATGGAAATGTCACAAGTGGGTTTCAGTGCTTCCTACTCACAGCAAAAGGTAATGAAGATCTTATAACACAATGTGTTGGAATGGGAATAATACCAACCAATCTTGGGAATGCCAGTTTAAATTGGCAAGGTTTTTCCCCCCTCCAAAATGGGCCAGAACTTAGATTAAGACTGAGCCAGTTTGTTTGACTCAGTTTTCTATACCATTCCAGCCAGAAGACTGAATGGCTTATAATCTGTTTATAATAATAGGATTAAAAACTATACAAGGAACAAAGAACAGCAAACCCCCAAGACATTTTTCTTTATCCAGGAAATCTGAAGTTGTGGCACTACCACCACTCCAGAATCTTATTCAAAACAGATATGAGACTGGCCAATAATTATCTAGAAGATTAGAAGCCAATAATGACTTGGTGTTACCACTGCTTCCCTTAGACGGACCAAAGGTATGATTAAGACATAATGGAGTCTGAAGTCTCCACGTTTAACATCAGTAACAGATTGATGTGGGGATCAGTTCCCATGGACGGTAATATGTACGTGGAATCTACGGGCATGGGCAAAATAATATGATTTGGTAATATACCTGTAAAAAATAGCCATGTAAGCCATGTAATTCACTCTGCCCGTGTGGTTTATCCTTCTAAATTTTGCTAGGGAAGCATGGGATTAAATTGCCAAGGCGGGGCATTGGCTATATGACAAAAATGTGTGCTGTATGCACAGTCTCTGGCACCTGCATCTCCCATTTCAAGAACCTCAGCCATGACATTGGGAAACATTGCTAGTTGGAATAAAGAATGCTGGATGGGATATATTAGAGGTCTCTGACTCGGGCAATAGTGGGCTAAAGTGAGCACTACTCTCAATATTTTAACTGTATCATTAAAAGCTATTGAAACACCTGGTTGCATTTAATTATTTGCCTTGATTTTGTTTTCTCTTAAGGGAGTTCTGATGTTGGGTGCTGTTGGGGCCTATGAATGGACTGGAACAGTGGTCCAGAAGAGAGGAGAAAAAGACACTATATTTCCCAATACAACATTTCAAAATGTTTTGCAAAAAAATCGGAACTCCTACTTAGGTGAGAGCACAAATTCAAGAAGCTTCAGCAGAGCATTTATCAAATGTAGCTGAACATTTAAAATTCATGTTTAGAACTCTTAAAAGGCAATTAATCAGTGAGTGAATTCAGTTAAAGATCTTTGTCTTAAACAAGCTTTCCCCATCCCGACTGGGAATTCTGGGAGTTATAGTCCAAGACATCTGGACATCTGCACCAGTTTTAGAAGACAGGTCTAGAAGGATTAGGCTGGGGGAGATTTCCTAAATGTTAAGTACTAGAAGTTTTAAGCAGCATTTAGGCATTAAATAGTTGAATGAAAAGGTTAAATAAAATTGTAAATAAAGTTACAAATTTAAACTAATCAGTATAGATTTAACATGCTGGCTTATCCCATTTGCATGTATTTTCAGGCCCTCACCTGTATATGTATAATGCATAATATTTTCCTGTACAAACTGTCTTCTATAAGACAGTTGACCGCAGGAAGATATCTATAAACTCTGACAGGGCTGAAATGATTAAGATATTTTTCTACACAGTTTTTGTTTCAGGATGAATCATCCCAAGGAAGAAAATATTCTATATATTACAACTGTTTTCTTGATGTTGCTAAACACTGTTTCAGTGCATGACCCTGAGAATAATGCAGGGATGTTCAAATCAAGACTGTGGACAAGATATAATTGATTTAATCCTACTTAGGTGAAAGATAGAAAATGCAATAAGTGGCAGTTTATATAGAATTCTTCAAGGATTATATATCCAATGATCAGTTTTCACTAGTAGAAAACATGACTGAACAGCAGTGATTATCCCACAGTAATAGTTATGAAAGATGGAAACTCTGACTTAAAATGCAGAATTTCAATAAGATTGCTTTACAAGTACGCTGTAGTACAGTCTTTTGTTTGTTTGTTTGAACGGCACCGTTGCTGTTTGATCATTATAACTATAATTTGGACTTTCAGGTTATTCTCTTGCTGTTCTTTCCATGGAAAACTCAGTCTATTTTGTTGCTGGTGCTCCACGGTCCAGTTACACTGGCCGAGTTGTGGTTTATGAGGTTGATGACCACAACAACATAACGATCATTGACTCTCAAAGAGGAGAGCAGGCAAGTGTTGCATTTAATGTTAAGTTTTCACAATTGTGCATTTATTCTCTTTGCAGTGAATAAAACCGCTCTTTTAAAATAGACCTCATGTTTGCAATCTTGTGCATTGTTTGCATACATTTTTTACGAAGTATGGCTCCGTGTCCCATCTGATAGCAATGATTATGTCATTTCAGATCGGTTCCTATTTTGGCAGCGTAGTGTGCTCTGTTGATATTAACAGAGACTCCATAACAGATGTGCTGTTGGTTGGCGCACCAATGTTTATGAATAGTTTAAAAAAAGAAGAAGGAAGAGTCTACATGTTCACAGTCACAAAGGTATCTTTGTATAAAATGGCTGGGTTTCATATCACTAGGTTTCCCCCCAATTTTTCCCAACGCTCCCTATTCATAGTTTGAAAAATTATATTTAGATATCATAATCTTAAGTTAGTATGGTTAATAGAACACTAACATAAGTTTCCTTCTCTCTCCCTTCCATTCCTTTTGATCTTTCATCAAAGGGAATTTTGGACAAACGAGAACTCCTTGAAGGTCCTGAAGGACTAGAAAATGCTCGGTATGGATCTGCTATCACTGCTGTTTCTGATATTGATTTGGATGGCTTTAATGATGTGATAGTTGGAGCACCATTAGAAAACCAGAATAGTGGTGCTATATACATTTACAATGGTAAACAAAGGACATTACACACTAAATATTCCCAGGTAAGGAATATGATGCTCTATTGTTACAGAATATTTTTGATTTAGGATGCATGGTTTCTCATTCTTTGCCTAAACAAGGTTTTCTCCAGACTCACAGAAAATTTATTTTGCTATATATTTTCATTAGCAGGCAAGTAGCTAATATTTCACCTGGCTCCATTTTTATCATTGCAGTATGTTCACTGATGAATTGCAAAAAAAGCCTATCATGAAATCTCTCATATGGATGACCTTATAATCTAAGATCAATTGACAAAGCAATGCTTTAGTTTATATCGTGTTTAAAGGCCAGATTAGTTCCATGGACTTTTTTTTACTGTCTATGAACTATATACTTTTTTATCCCTTATGATATTTTTGCTTTGATTGTGACATTAATTGCTAATTATTTGTTTAGTTTGTCAACATTCTTGTCTGGTTTTTAACCCCTCTTTCAGAAAATTTTAGGATCAAACCCTGCATTTGCTCAGCCACTCCAGTATTTTGGAAGATCAATCGATGGTCACATTGATTTAAATGATGATGGAATTACTGATGTATCTGTGGGTGCCAATGGAAATGTAATTCAACTCTGGTGAGTAGAAGATTTTTAAGGAAATAAAGAAAATACCCTTAAAGGAAAAAAAAAAAATCCCTACTTCAGTTAGCTTTCTTACAGACTGTACTCTAATCTAATTGACACACTTTGCATATAAAATAAATCTATACATACATACAGCCAGCCTCAGATGTAAATTGGGTGCTCATGATTCTCACATATAAAGACTTATTTTGTGCCAGTGTAATCTACACCCATGGTGTGTGTTCATAGAGGCTCAGAGATCCCCCTGAAAGGTGTTGATGAATATTGATATTAAAGAAATTACATCAGAACACTTGAGTCCACCAAGATGGTCAGAAGACTTGATCCTCCAGCATGTATTTCATTCCAATCCAATTGGCATTTAGAAACAGATCCAGAAAAGTTTATTTGCACAGTTAAAAATATAATCAATAGCATTTTGAACATTCAAACATAAATCTCATTTTTGATTCTCATAGCAAGATTCAGTCGTCGGTCCTTGATGTTAGAGAGCTGAATCTTTTATCCAACAACTGGGAAGGCCATTTTGGTTGGGACAATACAGTGTCTGGCATAACCAAATGTAAAATACAGAGAAATAGTCTGCAAGGCAGTGATAACAGTACGATCATAAGTTGCTCCTAAAACCAGCTTAAACCAGTTGAATGAAGGAAAAACAGGCTTTTTGAACAATACAGTTTAATGAGCAAAAAGGATAAGTTAAGGCAATGTCTAATTTATTCAAGAATAATTAACATACCTTCTCAGGAAAGATTAGAGATAATTCTGTTTGTGTTTCAAAGGCAAAAGGATCTTCAGAGGACACAGAGTACACTCATAACACCTAATAACTCCTTAAGCCAAACACATATTCTCCTGGAATCATGCACCAGCTGCAGAGGACTACCAGACTATACCAGGAAAAATTATGGTTGTCAGGACCCCACTCCAAAGCACGTTTTTGCTTTTCAGTCTGAAGTGCTGCATGTCCCTGATACATATGGACAGGAAATAGATATTTACAATTGGCGAAATATTTAGTTTTTGCTATTCCCCAACCTTGTGAATACTGCATGCATGAAAGCCTTTTAATTTTTGCCATTCTTTTAGAATCTTTCCACCTATTCAAGATGTTTTTAAAAAAGAATTGTTGTATGTTGTGAGTGTTCTACTGTATGCGTAGGCAGTCCTTGGTTAACGACCATTCGTTTAGCGAACGTTTGAAGTTATGATGGTGCTAAAAAGCTACTTACTAATGGTCCGTCCACTTATGACTATCGCAGCACCCCTGTGGTCATGTGATTAAAATCTGGGTGCTTGGCAAACCAGCTTGCATTTACAACAATTGCAGTGTTCTGGGGTCACGTGATTGTGATTTGCGACTTTCCCAGCTGGCTTCTGACAAGCAAAATCAATGGGGAGCCATGCGATTTGCTTAACAACCACGTGGTTCACTTAACGATCATGATGATTCGCTTAACGACGCCACAAAAAATGTCATAAAAGTGGATGCAATCACATGATGCCTCGCTAAATGACTGCCCTGCTTAACGACAAATTTTCTGGTCCCTATTGTGGTTGTTAAGCAAGGACTACCTGTAATCAGAAATTCTGCAATTAGATTCTCAGTGGAGCTTACTCCCTACTAGTAGGATTGAACCTATTTTTGTTTAAAATTAATTTGGTAAATTCTAAATAAAAGCCAGAACATTTTTTTTCTTTTTTAAGTCTGAGATCACAGAGAAATCTGCCTGCCTCTGTTTCAGGTCACAGAGTATAGCCAATGTGACTGTACATGTTTTATCTACTCCTCCGAAGATCAGCCTGCAGAACAAGAATACAGAAATAAAATTAAACATATGTTTCACAGCAACTTTTAGACCTATCCATAAGAGGGATCAAGTGGGTGAGTATTTCTCTTAATTTGCATGCACCCTTAAACTGGAGACATTATTTGCAATTGTCAGCTAAGTAAAACTCTCTCCCTTCCCCATACACACAATCTAATCTGGAGGCAGTGCAAAACTCTAAAAAATGTGTAACTTTTGTTTTAATACAAATGGCTTTATGGCCGCAAAATCTACCAAGAATATAATAGTCATAAAGTACCTAAGTATATTCATAAATAATGGCAGATAGAATAGTAGTCTTTTTTTAATATTTTAGTTATCAAATCCCAATAATGTGATTATGGATTGATGAATATTTCTTCATGATTTTATCTTATTTTTCTCAAACTAGACTGCACTTGAAAATAAATTTTAAAGATTTCAAGTGTTTTACAGTTTTTCTTCTGACAACAATTCCGTTATTTTGTCACTCTGTCTGTCCGTCCATCCATCCATCCATCCATCCATCCATCCATCCATCCACCCATCCATCTATCTATCATATTTATATAGCTGCCCATCTCACATAAGGTGACTCTGGGCGGCGTACAACAATTAAAAAAATAAATACATAAAAACAATTACACATAAAAAACTGTAGAAACACACAAAATAGGAGGGGATGGAGCTAATCTCACTTCTGGGGGAGAAGATTCCACAAGGTGGGTGCCACGGCAGAGAAGGCCCACCTCCAGGGACCCGCCAAATGTAATTCTCTACCAGACGGGATCTGCAGCATGCCTTCTCTGCCAGACCTGATGCGATGGGCAGATGTAATTGGGGAAAGACGGTGCCTCAGGTAACCCGGCCCCATGCCATGAAGGGCTTTAAAGGTAAAAAACAGCACCTTGAATTGGACCTGGAAGCAAACTGGCAACCAGTGCAGCTTGCAGAGCAGAGGTGTAACGCATACCACCCACATACCATGACTGCCTGCGCTGCTGCATTTTGCACCAGCTGAAGCTTCCAGATACTCTTCAAGGGCAGCCCCATGTAGAGCGCATTACAGAAATCCAAACAGGAGGTGACCAAGGCATGA